CAGGTAGGCAGGAAAGTAGACGAGTTTTGCAAGGGAGCCCCCAATCTGAGCCGTTGATCGATTAGCATGCTACACCTCTGAAGTTCATGGTGGTGAGGAGTCCAAGCTGGGCGCAAGCCGTGGCCTATCATGACGAGTGAAGCACGCGACAGGTCCAAGAAACTCACATCAACCGCTATATGGCTCACGACCGTTGTGTGATTCGGGAGACGGATGTCTTTCGGGTCATGCTCATAGTCCTCGCTCTGCGGCGTGTCCGGCTGCTCCTCATCGACTATGAAGGCGCCCTGGACGTTGATGCGCACAGTACCCGGGTGCTGGATCGTCTCCTGGATATCGCTCTGCACCGTCGGCCGTCGTGGCCGGCCAAGGTCTGGAGTCGACGACGTCGTCTCGGTGGATTGCGCGCGCGGTGCTCTGCTGCCGGTTCCAGCCGGGGCGGGGTTCAGGTCCACAGGCGACAGCGACATGGATGCGGAGGTTCTGGGTCTTGGCTGCAGCCTCGCCCTCTGGCTGCGATGGCGAACGCTCGTCGGCCGGCGTGTAGCGATGAAGTGGTCTTGGGGCGTGTGCGAGAATGGCAGGGTTGGCAACGAGGGTCTTGCTGAGAGCGAGGGCCCTTCCATTTGCCCGCTTTGGTCACTGGCCTTTGATGCCGAGGGGAAGACGTGATCTGAAGTTCTGCGCAGAATAGAGGCCAAGGCAAAATGGACTACGACTGTTGAGTCGGCAAGGGGCTCCGGCAAGAGGCATATCAAGGATCCATCCCTTCGGCGATAGCGAGCCTCCCCAGACCTGCTGTGCCTGCTGGCTTACCGAGACGGACGCAGAGATTAAGCTCGGCAAACAACAGATCTGGGGTTGCGGTAACGTTAGAGGTGGACGGTTGGCCGTTGGGGAACATCCGAGGGGCGGGATCATGTGATTTGCCACTGCTACCTCCTGGCTGGCTATTTTCATCGCACAAGACAAGTAACGTGATCCTCAACCTAGCCGAGAGAACCAAGGTACGCCATGCTCCTGATTTCCACTCGAGCAGTTGTGTGTGAGTGCGTGCACGTGCGGGGGCAAAGCTGTGGACGGAGATGGAGAGTACGTCATGGATGATGCTTCTTTGCCTCGTCAAGGGAAACAAGGCGTTGCATTGCATTGCATTGCATACTCGGTTCGTTACTTGGCTACTCCGTCTTCTCCTCCTGCAGTTGGCAACAGGGCATAGTACCGGTAGGGTTACTTTGGGGCACGCAAAAGACAGAGAAGGGACCGACGATACATACACAACATGGCCCAGAGTACCATTGTCCATGACGTCGTGTCCTCGCAGCATCACAAACTCGTGTCTGACCCGCCGGACGCCACTTCATCCAAACTTCTCCACTCGGCCAAACCGACCCAAAGTATCCAAAGCCAGTAGGACTACGCTACATCGCCCATCAGCAGACTCCCGTCCCTTTACAACCGCAAAGATGTCGTGGATGGACTCTTGGTCACGGCCGTCCAAACACGCACTCACCCCGCCACCCCTCTATCTGACAGTCGGAGACACGGTTCCCTATTGCCATACCTGTGGTCGCGTCATCAGCGAGCGGCGCAAATCACAAAATGCCACTGCAGTCAAGTACTGTTCCGCACGCTGTAGGAACAACAAGCCGGGCCCAATGGACCGCAAGATCGAGGCCACTTTGGCCGCTTTGCTCAACGGCGCTGCACCAGAATCATGCAAGGAAAACGCGCAAACAGACGTACAGCCTCGTCCAAAAGCCGAAGAGGGTACTGCGAAAGAGAAGGACCCATTCGGCAGCAAAGGCGAAAAGAGGGAGAAGAAACACAAGAAAAAGGCTAGCAAGTCAAACAAAGGAGAACCCAGAATCATCATCGATTGCAGCACCGTACAGGAACTCGTCTTCCAGCGCGAAAAAGATCCAGAAAAAGTCTACGGGCGCCGCAAAAACCGCAGGGCACGATTCGTCGTGGAAAAACCAGAAGATGGGAAGAGCGTGGACATGGTCGACCACCCACCGCCATCGCAACACAACCCTCCAACCCCCTCCCCACAACACCAACACACCTACAGCAGCGACGAAGATTCCGTCTCCGACTCCGACTCCGAACACAAAGGCGGCATCATCCTCGAATCTGCCCAACAAGCCCCCTCCGACCCAGAATTCGGCTACGGCGGCGGCAAGATCCGTCCCCCCCAAGCGCAAAACGACGTCAACGGCAGCATCGGCGGCGAAAAAGGCTGGGCTGAGCGCGGCGAGGAAACAGACGAGATGAAGGCGAAGCGCAGACAAGGCCAGAAGAGAGCAGACGAGCGCGAAGCCGTGCGCAAGGCTGCAAGACGGGGCTGCGCATTCGGTTTGGCCGTCGAGGGAGAGGAGGGGAGGAGGAAGACCGAGGCGGTGAGGAAGGGTGTTGTGGTCGAGGCGAGTTTTGCAAAGGGTGAGTGGGGTATCCGGTGGCGGGAGAGGGTGTAGGCGGTGTTTGTCGAGTCGGATCGAGAGGACCTAGAGGTCGGGAGATGTAAATGCAATCGGAGATGTTTGTCCAGCCTGGGCACACGTATTCCCAAGGTTAGGCCGTAATGGGTTGATTCAACCTGGGAGACTTCCCCTCGAGATTGACCTCAGTAATCATGGTCTCCTACCCAAACTAAGCACTCACACCAGACCAGCCCTTCTACCCCGACGACTGAAACCCCAGACCATAGCTCACAACTCCAACGTCCCAATCCGACTCCCCACCGTCCCACCAGCCCCCCAAACACCCTCGCCCACCCTCCGCCTAACCAAAGCAAGAACATCCAACCTACCACCCTCCTCCTCCAACCTACCTCCCAACGCCTTCAACACCTCGAACTTCGCCACCGCAACCTGATAGGCCGCATCCTCGGCATCGCCGCGCCCGCCCACCAGGCTCGAAAAGGAAGCCGCCGGCTTAAGCAACGAGGGCAAGACGCCAGCGCTGATGCTCGGATCGAGGAGGACGTCGAGGCCCGTGTTTGGGAAGTTGGTGAGTCGGGTGTAGGTGGAGTCGTTTGTGGAAAGGGTGGGGAGGGGCTCGGTGGACCAGGTCGAGGTGATGAGGGCGCGGACGAGAGAGAGGGCTGCGAGCGCGTTTTCTTGCATCGCGAGGGTTTCCATGTGTGTTGTCATGTCGGTGAACATGGTGGGTTTCTTGCTGTAGAAGAGGGCGGTTAGGAGGCGGGCAAAGATGGCTTCTGTAGTGCGGCGCTTGGTATCGCTGCCAATGGCTTCGGTCTTGGGGAATGTGATTTCTTCCTGGGGCTGTGTTAGTATGGGCGCGCAAATGGACATGGACTGTCGAGATGGTACCTTTGGCGGACCGCCTAGGACTGTTGCGAGAGTCTTTAGGGCATCGGGGTTCGTGCGTGTGATGGGTAGGTCGAGTAATACGCAATCGTCCCAAGCATACCCTGTGGATCGCTGGGGAATCAAAGTCGATCGAGGCATGGACGCGATGATGTTGAGGTTTGTAGCCTCGCATTTTCGAATGTTGCGGTGCACATAGTCTCGAATCGTCGGCATTTCTGCGCTGCTTTCAAAGTTTTCGGGATACGTCGAGGCGTAGTCACTGATGTACTGTGATGTTCGGCTACTGAGAAAGGTGTGCTCCAGACCTGGGTTGTCTGAGGTGTGGAAATCGACAAGGCCCTTGTGTATACCCTCCTCCTTCAAGAAGTCCAAGGCAAGACTTGAGTCGTAATGTCTTTGTAAAAATCAGCCACATTCCAGTATCATTAGGGGTGGATGGTACGCACGTCAATTGAGGTTTCGTCTTCAACCTGGTGATTAGCTCGCTGTAAAAGTTGATGAGTGTCATGTGCATGAGCATGTCGTCTTCAGTGTCGACCATCTTCAATGCAGCATAATGTAAAAGACCCTGTCCATCAGTGACACCGACTTCACGCTCAACATCTAGATTGTGTGATGAGACGATGGTATCAAAGTCCATTACTCCAACACGAGGCAGCCAAGAGAGCAGCCTGGCCTGCGCGATAGTCTTGTCACGCTTGTTAAGAAGCGGGAGGGGTGGTGCAGAGAGCTGCTTGAGTGATGTGTAGTGGTAGTAAAGTGAGCCAATGTCTCGATCGCTAAAGAGCCGTCGCCACATGGGGCCTGTGCCATATGTGTAAATCGGCACATGTGCACCAGCTGATGTGGAGATCGGTTCGTTCCTGGAAATACTCAGTAACGAAGTGAGGAGATCTTCCGCTTGAGTGGCTACTCCAGCATCTTGCGTGCATAGCCAAAGGCGGACGACAGATGCTATAACTGCAGGCCGATTCGCCAGTGCTTGTGCATCGATGCTACTCAAAGTCGCTTTTTCAAGCAAGGTGAGAATTAGGCTATGGAAAGGCGTGGCTTGTAAGTCAAGTCCAATCTCAAAGTCGATGTCCTTGATGTCTTCGAATCGATATGGTCCAGCCAGTTTGATGATGCAGTGTATGAGGGGAGAAGGGTCTTGTTGGAGTTTGGGTAACAAGGCTGCTATCTGGAGAAATAACGGTCTTGTCTCCTTCCAGATCTGGCTTCGATAGTCGGGGGTGTTGGTGAGGATTTCGCACTGTTCTAATAAGTCTGTGTCGAGCTCAGTAGTAGGATCCCCATCCACTTTCTTCAGGTGTGTCGACAGCTCGTCGAGAACGTTAGATGAAGACGCCATGGTATGCCTCGCTCTGATACGTTCTAATTATTCGAATCGTGGTGTATCACGAACTGAATTGCTGTTCCTGGATACAGACGCGCAAGTGAGGTGGCTGTTCAAGGTTGAATAGTGTAAAGGAACTTTGAAGCTTCTAGTCTCCGCTCATGTGACTGCGCGTGTGTACCAGTAGAGAGGCAAGGGTATGCAGCAGCGTGATACGCAATTTGTGTGGTGGCGCGTTGCTTGATGCGCTCTGCACTGGTATGCTTTTGTCTCTGCGTAGGTAGCGGGCTGGGTTCTCAATGTTTCGCCGTCTCCAAACTCTTCGCTGCTCGATTACGGTCTTGTACAGCTGTACAAAGTAGCGTGTACAGTTCAATGAGCAATGCACGTCATTCGCGTCGCAGGCTTGCTGGCCTAGGCAAAGGTTTGGTTTGGCGGGGAAGTGAGTGGTGAGTGGTGAGTGGTGAATAGTCGGCTTTGGTGCCCCACCCGAACTCCCAATGCTCTTAGCCCGACCGCGGCTCCAGCTGCACCGAATAATTTCTGACTCCTACAACCCTTGCTGCTGCTTGCAAAACACTCCATCTTACATACACGCGCTTCCTACTACCACTCTCGAATCAAATGGACTACCTCGGATAGCATATCAGCAGCAGCATCGTCTCATACAAGAAGAATCATGTCAGGACGAGGCGGAAGAGGTGGTGGCCGCGGTGGACGCGGAGGAGGAGCATTCAACCCGCGGTCAGGCACTGTGACGATCGCTGGCACAGAGCTGAACTGGGACCTGACAGGCCTCGACATCCAGAAAGGCCCAGCCGAGCGCTTTCCTGTACGCATCCTTTTCTGCTTACATCGCACTCTTTCACGGCCAACGTCACGCGTGGCGCAAGATCGAAGCACCCACTGAGACATGTACAGGACGCACCTCCGCCACAGGCACCCCCACCAACCGCCGGTGAAGTTGTCATGGTCCAGCATCATCTAGCAGTACGCGACCGCATCCATGAAGGACCGTTCTACACGATCCTGAATGATGGCATGAAGAACGGCCTCAAGAGGAAAGCCAATGAGCGTGCGCCTACCGAGGCCTCGCTCTTCAACCCCTTCACAGACAACCAGACATACTCGGCAAAATACCTGAAAGTGCGAAAAAGATTACCAAAGTTGGATGCGCGACCCTATGGTAGGTCTGCCTAGAGCAAGCATCTTCGGATACAAAGCTCATGTCTGCATAGTCACCGATCTGTTCCCTGCCGAGTTACGGCCAGTGTTGGGCGGCGCCAAAGTAGATGGAACAACTCCAAAGAAGCGCCGGACGCTCGGGGTCACCAAGATCAACGCCGTCTCCCAGATCGACCGCCTCATCGAGTCCGAGGAGACTAGAACTAAAGAGGCAGAAGCTCGGGCAGAGGACGAGCTCGACGAAGATGAAGAGGAGGAAGAGGAGGCAGCCAACGACGACAAGCCTGACGCGGTTGACGAAGAGGATAACTGGTCTGCTGCATCCACTGATTCCGAGGAGTCGGATGACGACTACAACGCAGAGCAGTACTTTGACAATGGTGACGACGATGACATCGACGACGCGGATCCGTACGAGAATACGTATGAGTAGAGAGTGGCACAGGCAAGGCGTTTTGGGAGGGACTGCATCCAGCATCAATGGCGTTCAATGAGTTGATACCCAAATCTTTCTTATTCTTACATGATCAGTGTCATGCAATACCTCATTTATGGCATTATGTGGAACAACGGCGCGCATATTGACATTCTACCAGGGTGTAGTGGATGTTACATGAATGGCCAAAGGCAGCGAGCTGTGAGACTGTACCCACCTTGGGGGCCGCGTCATGTCCTTTGGAATACTAATTA